AGCAGGACTGAACTCTTCCTGGTTTGTTACCACCCACAGCTACCAGCTCTCCTTTCTGTAGAGAGGAGCCAGCCCCCTGTCACAGCAAAGGAGATCTGAAGTTAATATTCAGCCATGGAAAAGCTTGGGGAAAAAAGGAAGAAAGAAACACACAAGAAGCCAGAAAAATCAGGATGAAGAAGTTAACGGGGAATAAATGGGATCATCACACTGCTCTTAAACCAGCAAATTTCTTCTACAGCAGTTTTTTTATCTAAAAGGCACAAAAACATAGTGAACTGGAACAGCAGGTAAGACATTCAGAAGTGGTCATTGCTTCTGTTTAGTGTGTTGTACGCAGGGAGAGGGCATGGCCAGCATTAGCAGCCTTTGAAAATGACAGACATAACACCTAAAAATTAATGCAAGTATGCAATCAGCACATCAAGGAGGAGCCTACCAAAAAAAAAAAATCCATTAAAACCCAACCATGATAAGGTACTTGCCATTCTGCCTCTATATCCTTTTAGTCCATCTTCCCCTGCAAAACCCTTGTCCCCAGCTTCACCCTAGTTCATTGGAAAAAAAAAGTAATTAAAATGTGGAAACAGGCTCGTCTGATAAAAACACAAACTTCTCAAGAAATTATGACAGCATTTTCCAACTGAAACACAGGGATATGAAAGACTGCATACAAAAATTTAGTCACGGGTTCATGTAAAAAACCCAAACCAAACCTACACAATGACTAGCCAATGATTTTTTACTAGGGAAAAAGAAAATGAGATGCAGCTGTTACTTTGATGCAGCATCATAAGATAAGCAAAGACACGCAACATCTTGTTTCACACAAGTGAAAGCACTTCACCCTCTAATCTGCCAAAACCATACTATTGACTGCAGTGTGTTCTCTCCAAATAATACCTTCTACGGCAGAAGTGTGCTGCTTCCAAAATGTGATTTATCTACTTGTTTACTAAAGCAGACACTGGTTTCCCATGAGTGAAGAGCTGGCAGCTCATTTTATTTAACAAAACTTCTAATCACTCCCTTATTACTCTGTAAGTAAAAATATTTGAGAAAATATTAACAGGCAATTTCTGTGCACAGGACATTGAAAATGTCTAGTGATATCAACAAGAACAAGCCCCTGTCAGATTTTCTACATATATGGAGGAATGTATATCAGTCAGCAAACTGTCAGAACATGAGGGACCCCTTATCTTCTTTACTCCATACACAAATGCCCATTTACCTGGAAGGTTTGGGTCAAAGATCATGCACTCAACTTGCCCACCTCACCTCCGAGCCATGATGTTCAGCAGAACGACTCTGCTTTTGCTATGGCCATAGCTCTGCATCCACAAGAGAGTATAGATATTAAGCAGCCTTATTAGCTGAAGCCTAATGTATAATACCAATTTCACAGCTCAGTCCTATTTATGCAATCTGATCATCCAGCATTTGTTTTTAGAACTGGTTGAGGCTCTATATTTCAAATTCAGCCTGAAAAAAAGGCTCATTGTTTTCCTGGAAAGTCTGATTTTTATATTTGTGATCCTGAGTTTGGACAAAAAAAAAACCAAAACAACCTCAAAACAAAACCAAAACCCCAACGAAACAAACAAAAAGCAAAACCAAAAGAAGCCTTCCGCATCCATGGGATAGAAATTTGTTGATTCAGTTGTCATCGTATTAATAAATTAACTGAAGGAAATCCTCCACTTGTAATTTTTTGAGCAATCATGGATTTCCTATTAGGAAAACAGGTCCTATCAACAACTTCTACAAACACCACTTTTGTTTTGCCAAACAGTGAAGACAGAAAAGATTTTTTTCCCCAGCTAAATGTATTTTGGCATTTCAATACAAGAAACTTAAATTCCTAACAAGTCCATAGGGATATTAATGGGTGGCATATATCAAACACAATCTTATTAAATAAAGACTGCCAGAATGAATTAGCTGGATTTAGAAACACATAGAAACACAGAACAGGATAGCTTGTTATCTTACTTTATAAATCACCAACTATTTTTTTGAATGTTCAGAAAATTGTTATTTCTGTGTTTTAGTTCCCCTTTTTAAACTCTTGCCATATAAAACATGATGTCAACAGACTGATGGACTTGCAAAGTTTAGGCACTTGAAAGTAAAGAAAGGTCAGGACTTCTGCTGATGAATTTCCAATTTATTTCTCTCCAAAATTCTTTTTTCTCCCCTGTCCAAGTATCAGTAGCACAGAGTTAGCCTGAATGAATTCATTCTGACATGACCATAC